ATAATACTGTATAAGTAGTATTGTGTAATTAACTTGAACCATTGTGTATTTAACTCAAATTATTGTATATTTAACTATAATCATTGTATATTTAGCTCGAATTTTGCTACAGTAGGCTCCATTCTTAACTATGGGTCCTTAAACCAGGCATTCTTAACCTGGGAATTACCTGTATATCCAAGATCTCACACCTAGGAAGAACAGAAAGGGCAAGAAGCCACATTTTTGAGACTTCCCTGCCTCCACGGCAGGATGATGCACAGTGGGGAAGGGAAGAGCATCACCTCTCCTTCCTTGGAGGATCCGTCTGCTGACTGCAGGGGCAAGTACCAGGCTACTTTTGCAGGCAGAAAAGGCAAATCATTAATTGGGAAGTCCTCCCTAACACCACTTCTGACCTGAATGTCTCCTTTCAGACCTAGTGAGAGAGAGGAGAGGATCTGTCCTTAGATAAGGAAGAGGACCAGTAGACAGTCCCTGCATCCACCAGTCTATTCCAAAAATCTACTCCTCAGTAAAGTCTGCAAGATCCTAGGCCTAAAAGACCAGAGCTGTCCACTCCCATTGGTCCCCGTTGGATCTACTGGTGGCCAACATCTTTCCTGTGTGTCAGGCCTTCAAGATGGACCAGACTAGGAAACCAAAGTTATGAATGCTAAAAGTTAACAGTAACGGAATCTTACAAGTCTGAATGTGCCTCCCCGCTCCCTCCCTTTATCTACAAGAGAACTAGGGAGGGTCAAGCCTGAGACACTTTCTCAAATTACATTTTTCTGCCTTGGACTCCTTTTTCTTTTTTTTTTGGTCTGACCGTGGTCTTGGTTGCAGCTCTTTCTGTAGGTTACTCTTACAGCCCATTACACTGTGGCTAGTAGCCTTCCCCATGTTTTCCCTTCCCTGAAATATTCAACAAAGTCCAGGGGAAGAGTGGAGAGGACGTAGGAGAATAAGGAATAGATTCTCCTTGGCCACCAAACTCTATACTTTCCCTCAGGCAGCATTAGTTGCTCCCCCATGGCAGAACTGGTTTGGGAAGCCATGCTAAAGGTAAGGAGGACACCCCCGAACATCAAGAGGACAGGAAAGTAGAGGTTCTGTAGCACAGAACACTGAGGCAACAGTTGTAGCCACAAGGCCCTCCCTGGCTATTTTTGTCAAGGCTTCTATCATTTGGACAAAACAGCTATTTGAGTTCATGCCTCTAGAGCATAGGGAGCTCAAACAGAATCTGAATAAATTAGCAAAGGCAGTTGCCTTCATGGCTGATGTTAATTTGGACAGTGGTCAGTTCTAAGCCAGAGCCTTGATTGCTAATGTGGCCATACAAGATAACTTTTTGTCTCCAAATCTATTATATATGGCCCATTCAAGTGGGGCAAGCTATTCAGAGATTTTTTTATTTATTTTATCAAATTTATATGCCGCCCATCTCAGTATACAAGTGACTCTAGGCAGCTTACACATAAAAATGATAAAAACAATAAAAAATATTTACAGAACACACACACACACACAGTGTTAAAAGTTGAGGAATCTAGATGCCCTAGATAATGTCCTTATTGAGACTAAAGATAAAAATACAGTCTTGCCTGATTAGATAATCAAATTCATCAGGCCCCCTGAAATTATTTCATCCCATTTCTCAACTCTTGCAAGGCAATCACACACCAGCTGCTGCTGAAGTCCAGAAACCAGCTCCAGACCAGAACAAGTCCCATGAGGTGAGAGATTCTTCAGTTCATGTATCATATTTTTCATTGTTCGAAAGAAAAATAATAGCACATCATCCTGGACCTCAAGCAAATGAAACATCATATCAGATGCTAACTTTTAAATCCATGATAAAGTATTTTAAGAAGAAAAAATGCCCTGTGTACCCTTATTTAGATGACCTGCAGAGCCAGTCACCATTGATTGAACAGGGAAAGAGGGACATCCATATCATGTTGCAGACTCTCAAGGAACTGGGCTTCTTAATAAACAGAGACAATAACACTCTTAATCTGGCACACACCCTACAGCATCTTGGTGCCATCCTGGACTTGTGATCTCTCTGCCAGAAGAGAGGAAAGAGACTATCCAGCAGCTAGTCATGTCAGTCTTTCAGACCAGCCACCTAGCATCTAGGGCCAGATGATTGTCCGCATAGACTCAGTCAATGAATTTCCACTCCTGTCCCCTTCAGCGGATGCTCCCTCCTATTCCAGTGTCATATTCCAGTGCTTTATAACACAAAGATCTTATAGATGCCTGGTGATCTCTGTAAAGTTGAGACCAGGGTACTGTTTTTAGACTGTCAAACTATTAACGTCCCACTGATGGAACCTGCTGAGCCAAGGGAGATGTAACCATTCTGATCTCAGCACATTATACTTATATGCATGGAGCTTGAATGAGACTACTTTGGTAGCCTCGGATATGATGATAAAGCCATATGGATATCTATATCTATCTATCTATAGGAATGAATAAGACTCGTTCATTCCACTAGAAATGCAACTACCTTGGCTGTGCTTGATACTAAAGTCCATCTGGAAGACATCTGTAGGTCTGCAACATTGTCTTCTGTGTCCTTTATAACTCTTGTACCTCAGCTGAAGCACTCTTCAGCAGGAAGATACTAAAGGAAATAGTTCTGAGCAAAAACTACTTTCTGGGACATGATATCATACCCAGTGACAGCTTTGGTATATTCCACTTTAGAATGTGCTGGCTTTATATAGGAAAACTACATCAGACTTATTATGAATGCCCTTATAGCAAAGACATGGTGTTCAGCCCACCAAGATATTGTCAGAAAAAGGAGGAAGCCATCAATATTTGCATTCCATATGGAGTCTAACATAACTTTCCTGTATTACTTTCTCAAGTGTTACTTTTCTGGGTTCCCTTTCTGGCTTGGTATTCTGAACTGGGGAAGGGAACTTTGATTTTCCCCTAAGAACTGACATTGGAATCTTTTCTAGCCCCACTTCTGGAGGAGTGGGAAGGAGATACCCACTTCAGAATGCTGTGTCCTCACTGTAGAAAAAGGATTTTCATGGTAAGTTCAATGAATCATTCCTAAATATGGTATAATTTCACTGAAGAATTTGATAGGTTCAGTTTAGTAATAGTCCTTACATTTATCTTAAGATACTTATTTTAAATTTTATTGGAGGATTACAACATTCCTTTTCCTTTTCAATATTTTATTGAAGGTGGAAAATTGATTTGGCAATCTGATCTGAGGACTATAGCTATAACAAGTGTTTACAGAATGACATTAGCAACTTTTCTTTTCCTTACAATTTGTTGGATTTGTTCAGGTGGGTTATGTTGGGATGCCTTTAAGTTTAGGATGTGTACTGCCCAAAGTGATTTTGAGTGGGCATTATAAACATTCTGTAAAATAAATAATATATATTTTCTTTTGCCTTAATTCAAGTAATTCTGATTTTTTTTCCCAGGCTGTTCAGAGATTTGCTAATACAAACTATTAAGTTGTATTAGAGAAACTAATTTTTGTTCAGTTTCCAAATTTGGGTAGGAAATATGGCCAAAAGCTGGTTTCTAGTGTTTACTTAGGAGGTAAATGCACAGTATAGCTTGCTGCAGGGAGAACTGCAAAGTGGCAGGGAGAAAGTGATATCTGAGCATCTGGCTTCTTCTTAACTTACAAACATTAGTTTTGGGCAGGAGTCCCCAAATTCTTCAGCTCATCAATCCCTTCATGAAATTTCAGATTGTTCATCAACTCCCAAACATTTATTATATGAAAATAATTTAATAAATACTACTTTAACTGATAGTACTATGAATAACCAATAGTACTACAAATAAATAACAATAACAAAAACAACGGATAGTCCCATCAAACCTCGGGAATCAATATTGACCACTTTGGGGAACCCTGCTTTTGGGTGACTAGAAATGTTGTGTGGACTGACTAATCCTATTATTTTACATTTTCTATATTCGTTCTGTATTGGTATATGTTTAATTTTACAAGTATGAGATAAAAATGATTCAATATTATTTGAACTGTTATCTTCATTCTTTAGAAGTCTGAGCTAAGTACTAAGAAATAAAATGCAATCATTTATTTCAGAGTTACAGAAGAAGAGCAAATCTGTGACATACTGAATATATGATATGAAGCTAAAGAACAGGCTTTTGTGATGCTCAAGTTGTTTGATATTTGAATTCCCGGAATTTGTGCAGTGCCTCTAGCGTACTTCTCATGACTTGGTGGAGCAGAGGCCTGGACTATGGTTTTATTTCAGTCAGTAAAAACTTTGTTTCCTAAGAACAGATGGAACAGCAGCTGTTAATTTTGGAATTCATGTTTAACCTGGTATCCAAAAGCCAAGAGATAATGTTCTTATACCTAGTTCAAAACCAGGGTTTTTTTCTTTCTTTCTTGAAGTAACCATAAGCTCAACATTATATTGGCTTGTTCTTCTTGGAGGAGTATCTTTAGATAGTAATAAATTCTGCACCAAGGTGCTACAGTTCTGGTTTTGCTTCTGATTTATAGGGGCAGTTTGGTGGTACTCTTGAGCTGGAATTTCTGCATCCTCATGCTTTGTGTGGATACATTCACTAACCCTGCTTTTGCTCCAAACTGAAGACCTCATATCAGAGGATTACCTAGGTCACCCTTGCTTCTTGCTGTGGTATTTTAATTTCTAATTATTAGGTTTATTAGATTTTTAATTTAAAAAAAATCAAAGGTAGAAACTATTCAGTGGCATTCTGTTGTAAATAAACTACATACTTCCATTCCCAATATGGTTGAGCGTGTATTTATTTGGTGGCTTTTCAAATACACTTTGCCTTACATAAAGGTTCAAAATGAGTAACAACTTCATAAAAACACAATGCAATTATATGCAGTATAAAACACTAATGGAACATTACATTTAAAATTAATTTGAAATGATTACACAGACACATAGAAATGGCAGATCAGAGAAACATTCAGTGGTCACTCAATTCTTATCCTATTAATAAAGACTTGGTGCGCCTCAAGAGCATACTCAAGAAGAAGAAAACTGGGATGCAGTTACAATTATTTAGTGCAGTGTTCCTGGCTAATGCCCAAGGTTCATGACTGTACTTTGAAATAGACTTTGCATTTTAAGACTTCTGGCTTGATATTAAAGCCTTGGAAACTACATTAAGCAATTTTTATCTTCCTATAAAATACAAGAAGACATCACAGATTTATTTGGATCAGGTTGAATTAATTGTTATGCAAATTTTAGGTTGCATCTAGGTCTTTTGATTAAAAGAAGCTGAACCCATTGCAATTCTAGAAAAATTTGAACCTGGTCATTTTTTGAAGTTTATTCATCTAAAAGATCTGTTCAGTGTTTGAAAGAGGTGTAAACCATAGACACAAGAGAAGCACTCCTAGAAGAAGTAAAGTACTGATGTTTTCTGGAAGGCTCACTGCTCAAAGGCTTTTCCCAGTTGTATGTGCACGTTACAGATTTCTGCTGGGATCTCCTTGTTATTTAGGTTATTAGGCATCAGTTTCCTTATGGGAAATTAGTATTTTGTGACTAGCCTTACTTACCAATGTAGCAATTTTAAGTTTGTCTTCAACTTCCAAATGTGTTCTCTGGCTCAAACTGCTGTACATACAACTCTCCTCTTCCACAATCTTTTAAGCAAGATCTCAAAAGTCTAGCATTAACCAAATCTAAAATTGCCTCAATAAGTCATATTGCTAACTAGAATACATCAGTCACATATTTTAATATAATTAAAATATAAAATTTAGCTTCAGTTCTTCTGCAGAAATTGTCTAGTCCTAAACTTTGATTAAAGAAAAGAATATGCTGTAGGCAAATGGAGACTTTTATCAGTTTCTTCTACTTTAATTCCAGTCTTTTTAGTCCTTCTTGAGATAGTTGTTTTATGATGTCAGCCCTCAGTACCTCTCTGGAACTTATAATTCCTGTTGATTAAAAACATTTGTTAAATTATTGTCAATAAAAGTACCAAAGTGATAATCATAGTTGCAAAATTATTACATCTGAATCCTTTCTAAGAAGCTCAGGGCAGCATATGCAGTATTCCCATCCTATCCTTTAAATAACCCTGTATGTGAGTTAGTCACTCCTCTTACCTAAAGTCAGACAGAGAGGTTTATGATAGGAAAGAAAATTTTATCGAGTGGCTTATAGGGCAGTTCTAAGATCATCAAATGTTATGCTGGAGGTATTGCTAATTTCTAAAGTTTATTTTGTTGCAGGCAGGATAGGAGGGAGCAGTTGCCATCTAGGTTCTCTTGTTATTTTCCCTACTTCCATATCCATTTGCAGTAATAGAAAGGAAATGATGATGCCATTGTAGTCTGCCAATTTTACAGACCTGTTGAAGAGATGAGAGGGTTGAATATACCTTGAAAGATGCATGGAATACTTGGTTTCATACTCCACCACAAGCAGAAATAATGCTAGTGGAATGTTGACATCTACTGAGGGCCTCTGAATATATTGTCTCACCACAATCAATAGCCTTTTGGCTGGCTTCAATCTTGCTATGTGTATTTTCAGTACAGATATGTCTTTTTCATACCTTTTTGATTCAAACTCTTGCTGCTTTTCTATTAGATCAGTGGCTTCTCTCCCCTTCTTTCTCACAAACTCTTCATTCAACCCAAACTGCTGCAAGGTGTCTCTAAAGAGTTTCTGTGCTCCTTGACAGGCACTACGCTATGGAGTAAAAATTGAGGTATCTTAGAAACACTTTTCTCTTCCATGAGTAAATGGAATATTCAAAAATAGATTAAAATTATTGTTAGATAAACTTTCTAAAGTAGGACAGGTGGACATTTAAGACTAGAAAATATGTTTTAAATAATGTGTTTAAGGTAATTTTTAAAAACTCATCAATTGCAAAATATTTACTGTTGTGACTTGTTCAAACAGATAAGGTCTGTTTTTCACTCGCATCTTCATCTCTTCTAGTTCTTTCTTATATTCTCTTGTTCTTTTTTGACCATTTTGCCTGAAACAAGAATTAAGTTACTGTCTGAAATAATCTAAATTAACTTGCTCATTAAATTTGTACTTCTAGGAAAGTAATCTATACACAAAATAGGTTTTTCATACAGACCTGCTCCTTTACAATAATAGAATGTTGCTGTATACTCAAATCTGTGTTCCCTGAAAGTTCCGCTTTGTTAAAGCATGCACACAAATGCACCCACTCACTTTCAGTTCTCATAGTGCTGGTCCTCAGACCAAGACAACAGAAATGCTTAAGTAAAACCTCAGGACCAATTAAATTTTTCATAAATGTGCTTTACAAGACTTTTTTTGAACAGCTCAAATTGCCTCTGAGATATGACAGAAGCTTCATGAGTGCAACCTCCATGTGCACAATTTTTTATAATCACACTTCTTTGTTTTTTAAATCATTGTGAGTCTGCATTGATTCAGCGGTATACAATGGAATTAAAATAAATGAGTTAAGTAAATAAACATTCATTGTTAGAGTAGCTTTTTTCGACTTCTACTGTGCTGTTGACAAAAACAAGGTAATTACAGTTAGAAAGGCAAATAACTAATTTGGTGCAGCACAGGCAGGATTCCAGAAAACTAACAGCATTGGATATTCACTGAGTCACATTTTAGAGCTCTGAACAAGTGCAGTTTCTCTGCTGCTTAAAACCAATATTCAACATTTTTATTGTCCAATTTAACTGTACTTTCCTAAAATCTGGACCAGCGATGATAAAACAATTGGGGTATGAACTCAACAATCCTTGCTCAAGAACTCTTCCAACTCTCATCTGCAAGACCATTAGTTCACATTTTCAAGATGGACCTTTATGAGGTCCTGTTATATATATTTGGTTTTAGATGTTAATGTTCTAATTGCATTCATCTTTATTTTACTTATATAATTAATCTTCCTGTATATTTCTGAGGGAGGATTATCCTAAAAGGTATCTTATAATTTTAAAAAAAATAGTAATAAGATTGTTTCCTCAATGGGAACATTTTAGATTCAAATCTGAATTCCTTTTCTATCAGAGAATGTTATTTGGTAAACTGAAGATCTCCATCAGTAATTACATTCAAGCAATGGTGAAGATAAATCCCATTAATCCAACAAGTTTCAGTTCTTTGGATACCTTGAGAACCAGTTTGGTGTAGCAGTTAAGGTGCTGATTTAGAAACCAGGAGACTTGTGAGTTCTAGGCCTCCCTTAATCATGAAAGCCAGCTGGGTAACTTTGGGCTAGTCACTCTCAACCCAACCCACCACACAGGGCTGCTGACAAAATCACTATAAGTCAATTGCAAAAGGCAGCTTTACTTGGAACAGTTTATATCCTTTAGTACCTTTCACACCATCAAACAACAACATTTGTGTATCCCAGGCTCTTGGGAAGAAC